TTCGACAAGGAAATGAGCAACGAGCATGGTGTGCAGAGTCAGTGCAAGCTGCCAGTGTCCATCTTCCTCGCCAAGTCTGCGCCTGTTCCTCCCAAGCAGAGGTAAATTCACATTAAGCTACAGAACTTCACTGCTGACACCAGCTACTTGTGTTGCACAAGTACTGCCCTCCTCTCATCCCTGCACATCCTACATGCTGGGAAATTCCTCCTCCCCTGTCAGAAACAGACCCTTCACAGAAGGGAAGTCAGCTGGAAGGTGTTGATGCAAGTTTTGCAATCCAGGGTTTAGAGAAAGCAAATTTGAGGGAAAATTTGTGACAAGGTTGCATGCACATGCAACCTTGAGACACAAGACGGGAGGCTATGTGAAAGGGAGCGTTCAGTAAACGTAAGAAACAGGGAGAACATGAGGGATTTTGGAGTGAGCGCATGCAGCAGCAACAGGGGTGGGAGAGCATGCAACAGAAAGCATGTGTGTGACAGGCAGCATGCCGACATGGGAATTTGCTTAGTAGGGACAAAAGAAAGGGCCGGTGCACATGAAACTCTAAAAGTACAAGCAAGAGAGAAGCAAGAGTGCTGTGACAAGGCATATCTGCATGTACTGCATTCATGCACTACCATATGCACAAGAAGGTGCAAGAGAAAAGCTGTGTGCACATGGTGAAGGCAGGCAGAGCAAGACACCCCAAGTACATAACGCACTGTGAATGCAAGGCAGTGCAAGACATGGAGCAGGCCAGATAGTGAATATAAAGAACATATGTACTCTGCACGTGTGTGCCTGCATGCATGCACATGTGCACTTACAAGAGCAGTGCAGTAGGACAGGCATGAGGTTTTTATGTGCAAGCAACCACCAACACTAGTCATCAGGATGGAGAAAGCACACAGGAGAAGGCTTGAGGGAGGGAGAAGGGGGGCGGAGAGCAAGACCGGCACTCCAGGAATTGCATGTGCGAGGGAGCTAGAACAGTGTGTGCCACAGTGAGTTTATTCATCTTCTAGGCTATATTCATGCGAGTGTGTGTGCACAAGACCATGGCTATGGATGAATGAGCACAAATCATGTACAAGCTGCGATTTGGAGGGGATATGATTATATGTGCATGTGACATGTATTTATACATACAGCACGGGACGCATTAACCCTTAACTCCTGTTTACAGAAAGCATCTCAAAAACAGCTATCATGTCTGTCATCACCTCAAACTAAATCCCATACTTGCACTTGGCTCTTAAAGCAAGAAACCCAGCTGGCAAGTCACTGAACAAAATCCCCATACTAAAGAAATTTCCTTCCCCTGTCTTTGCCTTGGCCCCCCTCTTTTTTTTTTTTCCTCCTTCTCCTGGTGGAGGGGGAAGGACACTGTTTTTGCAGACAGACCAAAAAGACATAGAGGTTCCCCTAACCCCTCCCCCCCGAAAAACAAACAAAAAACAACAAAAAACACACACACAAAACTTAACACTGATCTCCTCAGGAAGATGAGGAGTCCAGGAGCATCAGTACTTGCGACCCAAAGTACTGAGGGCTGCGGATGGAGAGGGTACCCACCTTCACCCACCTCTCTTTCCTCTGCAAATCTTCCAGTCATCCCCCCCC